GAGTGATTGATATCATGGATACTTTCTGGATGCCTTACAATATGCATAACTCCCATCCTGTTCCTGCCAGAGATCATCCATAAGTGTGATCAATACTATGCTAGCTCCATATCTTGGTCTAAAACCCTCTTCAGAAGGGATCCAGCTAAATCACTTTCCCTAGGTATCTTTGAAGCTTTAGTAAATCCACCTTCTAAACCACCTTCCTCTAACAACTCCATAAGAATTGGAATAAATCTGAGTGATTATACCTGGCAGATACGTAACTTAATCCTCACAATGGCCCTGCAGGGATATATTCAGGGGTGGGATTCTACCAGTTCGCACCTATTCACTAGAACCAGTTGTTAACATTCTAAGCAGTTCGGAGAACCAGTTGTTAGAAGAAATTACTGGCCTAATCCTGTAAGGAAGGCAGGAAGGAAACATTCTGGTGTTGCTTACAGAAACCGCCTCTCCGTTAACCCTTATTACATTCTTGGCAGGACTAGACTTCCTGTCTCAGGAACTTCTCTGGAGTTTTTTCCCCTTCTTTGCTGGTTCGTTGCTTGTGTGGAGTGACCATTCAAAGTTACAATGGCACTGAAAAAAGTGACATGACCATTTTTCACACTTATGACTGTTGCAGCATCCCCACAGTCTTGAGAGGCCAGGCGAGGAGATGCGTGCCTCAATGTGAGTGATATTGAGTTGGTCACACCCAGCCAATAACATGACCACCAAGCCATGCCCACCACCTAAGCCATGCCCACAGAACTGGTTATTAAACAATTTGAATCCCACCCCTGGATATATCCATCTCATCATGCCAAAGAGTATCTGAGTCTACTTGAATAGGGTTGATCAGCAGTTTAGAGATAAAGTAAGGGTGGAAAAATGCATATATTCAATTGCATTTTTTAAAAAAAACATATATTCAAATTGCATTTTAAATGGCCCATCTCTGTTTATCTCTCTTTGAGAAATAATGGCTGTATAAGATGCAAGAGACAAAAATATATTCATACTTCCAGGTTGCCTGAATGGAGTATGGACCACCAATGGTCTTGGAGGTCAGGAATAGATGTCATCTTGTACTCACCTCCAGCCATTTGCAAATGTGAATTCTGTCCCTGTTTTCTTGCTTCAAGTTTAAAATAGTATTTTCTGACTTGTATCAGTTCAGGTTTTATTGTCTAGTTTGTCTGCTGCCTACTTTGTTCTAGGCAAAATCCAGTGACAACAGTATCTCATTTTCCCAGGTTTTTCTCAAGAAGGTCTGCTGCAACTTCTAGTACTGGTCTTTCTCACTGATGTAGCAATTCTACCACCTACCTGACATGCAGAGCGTGCCAATTTAAAACTCAGCAGAAACTTTTGAAAGTTGCTTTCTTTGAGCTACATTGCTGTTTTTAAACAAGTCCACTGGTGCAGTTTTATGCTTTCATGATTTTTCATAAGTCCCTTGTGGTAGAAAAAATTTACCTCCAGCTCCCAAACAGTGCACTTAGTTCACCTTTGCTGTTTCAATATTCTAAGCAAGTTCATACATCAGATACTACCCATAAATCTGGGTCATATTGTAACAAGAGGTCATGTTCAGTTTGAGATAATGTCTTGTTAGTGTGCTTCATTTTTTTAAACTACAATGATTCATGATATTAAAGAAGATCTGTGAGAAACATTTTAAGCCATGCCAATGTCTTTATTTTCTTCCTTATTCATGGGTCAGTTTGCTAAAACTGTTTTCAGTTATTCATGTCAGCTGTTATAATTAATTGCACCTTGTTGTATATTCATACTGGCCACATGACCAAGGAAATATCTTTGGACAAAGCTGGCTCCCCTGGGTAAGAAATGGAAATGAGCATCACTGCCTAGAATTGCAGAAAAACTGGACAGAAGAAACTTTACTTGTACCTTTAGTGAAAACTGCTAGATTTTTCCTGAATAAAATAAAAATGTAATTGCATTTTCTCATTTTCCACATACAAAAGTTGATGTGAATGAAATTTGGAAAGTATTGGTATCCATTACTTCATCTGATAGCAACCTGCTTGTTTAGGGAGTCCTAGACAGGTCATATGGCACAAGGCTTTTTCTCCAACAACTTTTTAATGCTCCATTACCTAAGCAGCTCTGATAGTAAGCAGCTCTCTAGTCAATGTATGAATAGTGAATATGGTTCTTAGTCAATGCAAATAGAGATAGATTAACCCTTATTAGAAGCAAATTCATTTGTCCACAGGCATATTCTCCAGAAATAATGGAAAATCAAAGTTGTTGTTGAATCTGACTTACACATATTACCTTAAATCTATTTGCCATTTACACCAACATTTCTTATGTATTGTAACTAGAAACAGCTTTCAGATTGTCCCAAATATAGAAAAAAATATGTTCTGTATTTGCACTCTCTTGGCCTATTGGTGATGGAACATACAGTACAGTCTCTGAAGTAGATCTTACAGTAAAGGCAGCTTTGTAGAGTAGGAAGTGGTCTATCCTAATCATAATTCAACTAGAATTATATAGGTAAGAAGCAACATCTTGAACTATACTCTGCCTATCCAACTGATGCACAGATATTGTAATATGGTCAACAAAACACATATCATAAAGCAAAACACATATCAGAAAGCAACCTGAAAGTTACATTTTTCACTAGCTGTAATTGTTATATTAATATACACTGCAGTTAATCAAAATCGGATATGAGGAAGTACTTTTTTAAAGAAAGAAATAGAACTAGTTGAGGCCATCTTAGACCCTGACCTTCCAATAGCAACGAAAAACTCAGAAGTATATCACAAATATAAAGCTATTTTTAAAGACTAATGAATCTTAATTCAGAAGAGACTATTGTATATCCCCAGTTCTGGTTTGATTCTTTTATTGAAGAGTATATCCAGCTTCTCTCAATCAATTCTCCATTTGTTAGCTTATATTCAGTTCCTCAGTTTCTTGTCAATGGCATCCTTTGCACCAATTAATCAAAAGAGAAGCAGGCTCAAATTCCAAATGAACTTTTATTGGAACATCACATGGGTGTTGAAAAAGATAAATAGTTTGTTGACAAAAGTTGAGAAAATTGGTAAGATTGACTACGGTCCTAGCAAAAAATCCTTCCAGAAACCATTCTGCTCACATAAGTGTAGTCAAAATCATGCAAATCAATATTGCCAAGTATTCCCACATTGGATAAATTTATGCTGTGGCAATTCTACATTTAGATATTTTTTCCAATAAATATCTGCTTAAAGCTGACCATGGATTTAAAGCATCTGTTACAATCAGTTAGAATGTATCTTCATGTCTATTAAAAAGGTAAAAATCCACTTTGACTTAGAAAAAAATGTTAAGTTTACTTTCACCAATAGCTCTAATGGCAAGCAGTGCTGGGTCTGTAACATTTAAAATTATTGTGTCCCATCTGTATGAAAGCTATTATTCTATGTTAAGCATGCTGAGTTCACATACATTACAGTTAGCATCTTTATGACATTTATATTGACCTCAACAATGTAGCTGTTTGACCTTTTCACCTACAGCTGCCTCCTTCAAAACTGGGGTCTTTTCCATTTGGCAAGCTTTCCTGTCCTATCTTGTTATCCCTCCTTGCTAGAAATGCTGAATTGCACAGCAGTATTCTTTCTCTCTTAAACAAAAAGTAGTACCCACAGTTTTATATCACATAGATGAGAAAGAAAATTAATCTGATGAATGGTTAGGTTTTAGGCCTATTTAAGACAGTAAACTAGTCAACAACAATGCTCATAGTATGGAAGAATAGGACTATGCCTGTGACCACAACCATGTATATAATGAGCTAAAATGCTTACATGATACAATTCATATAAATATTCCCACTGCAACTGTATAATTTGTGTACATGATCCATCTCATGAATGGGCAGGCAGGACTGCTCATGCTAGGAATGTAAAAATAATAAATTGATCAAAAAGCAAACAATCTAATGTGGACCTCAATATGAATGAATATATAAGAGCCACCAAGATTGACTCTGTTACTACATAAAAACTACAATTATTAATAAAAGATGTCATTATGCAATAATCTTAGTGCAGAATGAGATGCCATCCAGTGCATGAAGAATAAAAATGATACCCTAAACAAACAATCTGAAAAGGGAGGGAATTACTATGAATAAAGTTGATCATGTTAAGAAAATAGAAAGGGACTTTGTACTACAAAAATAGAACAGGATAAGCAACTCAAGCACATTTATTAATAAGCTACAACTCTTACTAGACAATGACAATACATATTTTCAGATACTAAGTATCAGATCCTTATTGTAACAACCTGTCCACTTAATCCCATATTTGCATCAGCAGCACTATCATGGACCTCAACAACTGCACACACAACCTAGTAGGGCTTTCATATTCTTTTTCTTTAATGTAATATATGCCATCATTTATGCCCATATATACAGTATGCCCATATATGCCCATCATCTAGATTCTATGCAAGACAAACAATTAACAGATACAAATTTGACATCAAAAATCATAACAAGAAGAAAGTAATAGCAGAACATTTTAATCTCCCAGGACACTTCATTACATACCCCACTATGCCAGCCCAGTTGAACTTGAAATAGCTGAGCTTACTTGTATCTTGGGTTCCAGCTATTTCAAAATGTCTGAACAATCACAATGGGTTTTTAATTCATTGCACATATTAATTTATAAATTATTGATAACCTGTCCCACATGAATTTTCACCTGCATAAACTCCTGTCTTGCTCTGTCTTTCCTTCTCCCACTGCCTCATCCTAATGTATTTAAAATTTACTTCTTTCTCTGATGTTTCACCTGCTATTACATGCACTAATGAACATGCTGCCATCATATAAAATAGTCCTGAGTGCTTGGTCTCTACTTAAGAGAGCTACTGTTAATCAGAGGGCAATGTGGAATGAAGCCCTGCAGGTTGTGGGAATCAGATGAGCTCATTTAAACTTCAAATACATGTAGATTAATATATCTACCTACCTATAAATGTATCAAGTAAAGAATAATCCCGTCCTCCCCAGTGTATGTGCAAATCTTGCAAACTTGTTTGTTTGGGTCCTATTGCAAGTCAGAAGTCCCATTACAATTTGGTATTGTGCTAACACTTTTATGTTGTCAAATATTTATCTGAGGCACTCTGGTGCCAGGAGGGAAATGAATTTGATTTTTCCAAAGAAAAACACTGGGATGCATGTAACTCAGCTTGAGACTCTATAAAGCACTTCCAAAAGTTACAATAGATAGGGAAGAAATGGATCAGCTTGCTGTGATGAATGGGAAGTGAGCAACACCATTGGAACAGGATGAAAATGCTGTGTAGTTTGTGCAGCTGTGAGGATGAAAAATACACACTTGGCATTGAAGCAATTTGTTTTGTAAGAAACACATACATAGTAAATTAGCTTAGTTGCAGCTTATGGGATGGTTGCCTGCTGAGGATTCCTATCTGTCTGGATAATTCTTTCCACAATTACTGATTCTTGTTTTTAATATTATGAAAGGAAAAATTCCTTTAGTGATGAAATAGAATCAAAAAGATCCATGTTTAGTTTCCCACACAACCCTGAAGCAAACCAGATGTCCTGTTTTGAGCTTTTGAAGGCAAGGGGAAAGGGATACATCTAGAGGCAGCCAATAACAAGCCAGGATGATGCTAAAATGATATGCTATAATATGGGTCTTTATATTTTGTGATTTCCTCCCAGTTATTTCTATTCTTGCTCTTGCTTATCTTGTTTTAAACCAGTTGTGTTAAGACAATGAAAACCTACTGAGAAATGATTGACATAGGACAAATAGAACACAGGACACTTATGGCGCAGTGATTAGAATTTAGGCTGCAGGCTAACTCTGCCCCCAGCCAGGAGTTTGATCCTCACTGACTCAAGATTGATTAAGATTTCATTTTTCTGAAGTCTGTAAAATGAGAACCCAGATGTTGGGCGCAATATGCTGACTCTGTATACCACTTAGAGAGTGCTGTAAAGCACTATGAAACAGTATATAAGTCTAAGTGCTATTGCTATCCCTTATTTATGGAATAGATATTTGGGAAAGGCAGAAATGGGTTAAGGTGTAGTTTACTCCTTATTTTTACTTTTATTAAACTTTACAATAATTTTTAAATAAAATTTATTGTAAATAAATCCTTTTGCTTCAAGGACAAATTTGTCCCTGAGGTACAAAAATATTGTTAGAATATAATAGAGTCCCATTCCATTTTAAGGAATGGATAACCCAACAGCACAAGTAAAGTCAAAATGGTATTTTCTAAAAAGATACTATAATATTATCATAATTCTGATGAAATAAATGTATAGTATGGCCAATTTATCTCAGCCAAGTGGCCTTCAGATAAATTAAACTGCGGGCTAGATTTAAGTTCCCCACAGATTGGATCCAGCCCGCAGGCCTTGAGCGTGATACTCCTGGCCTAGACTCTAGTTCAATGTGCCCCAAAAGCTGGGGAAATTGGTATGGATAAAGTGATTTGCACTGCAATTGTGATTACAACGTTGCTGAGCAAAATTCTAGAATGAAGAATTCAGTATCATTTTTGCAACAAATCCCTAAATAATACCTTATCCATTAAACAAAATGGTAAGTAACTGAACCATCATGTTTCAGCATCTGAGAAAAATACTTCTGTCTCATACTATCAGATGGATTACAACACAAAGAAAAGTAAAAAAACATTAACTGAAAAATAAGGCATTGTTTCATTGTCATTAAATTAGTCCAGGATGATTTGGATTTTTGCATATTGTTCTAGTTTGATAATTTATGTTGAGCTTATATACAAAATGAGTGAGAAGTTATATTTACTGCAGTAATTTTTATTTAATTTTTATTTCATTCACTGTATGAGATGATTTGATATATAAAAAGTAAAATATAAAATTCTATAAAAAGTCCTTATATCTAAAACACATCCAAGTTACCAAGAGCTTGCTCTTCCTGAGACCATCATCTGTGAACTGTCCTTAAATATCACATTTCAATTCCTACTATGTTACAGAGCCCCACTGCCATAGCCAAACCTCTAAACATAATCTTTGAAAAATCTTTCAGGACCAGCTCCTCGCCAAAACTATGGTCTCAAGCCACAGTCATCCCCATCTTCAAAAAGGGAGACCCCAGCCTAGTTGAAAATTGTAGACCAATCTCTTTATGCTGCATCACCTGTAAAGTCATGGAATGAATTATTAACCAATCCATTATCCTCCACTTAGAGACAAACAACCTACTCTCTATTAAACAATTTGGTTTCAGAAAAAAACTATCCTGCAATCTACAACTCTTATACTGCAAAAATATATGGACTACATAACTCGATCAGGGCAGAACAGTAGACGCAATCTACATAGACTTCTGTAAAGTCTTTGATTCAGTGGTACATGACAAACTACTTCTAAAACTAAAATCTTATGGTATCTCTGGACAACTGCATAGAAATGTCAAAATTGGGAGCGTCCTATCAAATTCTGTACCTGTCAACAGTGGTGTCCCCCAAGGCAGTGTTCTAGGACCGTCTCTTTTCATACTCTACATAAATGACCTCTGTGATCATATCAAGAGCAACTGTGTTCTCTTCGCTGATGATGTAAAGCTATTCAACACCACAGACAATACTGCTACCCTTCAAGAAAGACCTCGACTATGTATCAGAATGGTCAAACAAATGGCAACTTCAAATCTCAACAAATAAATGCTCTGTCCTACATATTGGCAAAAAAAATCAGAAAATAAAATACAGGCTGAATAGTCAAGACCTTGTTGACGATCCAAACTCTGTCAAGGATCTTGGAGTACTCATCTCTAATGACCTAAGTGCTAAGCCCACTGTAACTACATAGTCAAAAAGGCATTAAGAGTTTTAACCTAATCTTACATAGCTTTTTCTCTGGTAATATCACACTACTAACAAGAGCATACAAAACATTTGCTAGACCAATACTCGAATACAGCTCATCAGTCTGGAACCCACATTACATATCTGATATTTTATTTTTCTTTTATTTTTCTTATATGTACTCATTTCATGTATTCATAATTATGTATACACTTTTACTTATCTCGTAAACAATTGACAAATAAATAAATAAATAAATAAATAAAAATATTAACACAATTGAGAAAGTCCAGAAATATTTCATAAGAAGAGTTCTCCACTCCTCTACTCGTTGCAGAATATCTTAAGCCACCAGACTTGAAATTCTAGACCTAGAAAACCTAGAATTACACCGCCTTCAGACCGATCTAAGTATAGTATATAAAATCATACATTGCAATGTCCTACCTGTCAATGAATACTTCAGCTTCAACCATAACACGACAAGAGCAAACAATAGATACAAACTCAAGGTTAATCTCACTAAACTTGATTGCAGGAAATATAACTTCAGCAACAGAGTGGTCAATGTCTCGAATACTCTACCTGGCTCTGTGGCTTCTTTCCCAAACCCCCCAAATTTTAACCTTACACTTTCTACTATTGACCTCACTTCTTTCCTAAGAGGTCTGTAGGGGTGTACATAAATGCCCCAATGTGCCTACCATCCCTGTCCTATTGTTTCTTTTATTTTTCTTATATGTATCAATGTATTCATAACTATGTTTTTACTTATATCTATTATCTTGTAAGCAATTGACAAACCAAAATAGATAAATACATAAATAAATAAAAAAATGATATAATGTGATCCCACCAGCTGCCCCAGACTGACACCCTGCCATGCATTGATCTTATACACCTAGAGGTGTATAGGAAGTTTAATTTTAAAAATTCAAGAAAATGACAACAACCAGATTGTTAATGACTTATATTTTCTGGTGATGAAAAAATATGAGGAAATAAAACAGACTTCGAGATTGGAAGAAAATAATGAATATAAGTCATTTACCTCCTTTAAAATTTTAAAATATGCTTTTCTCTTTCCAAGGCTTTTTTTTTGCTGAACACTTGATTAAGAAAATTTGAGTGTATTCATTGGTC